GGATACAGCTGTTTTGTACTTGGTTACTTGGTCGACACGGTGGATGCACCGAGCAGGCTACCCAATGTTTGACAGCTTCCTTGAACTACCGTTCACATCACACTTCAGGACGAAGGCAAGAGAGAAAAATAGGAGGCGTCCCAATAGATATCGAAACGTTTGTGTGTAACAGTCAACCTAGTTATTTCGGTCAATAAAAAGCATAACATTTGGCTGTTTGTTGTACACATTTCCAAGATTTCCTTTAGGGAAGAAATGTTTCCGGCACTGCATGCAAATGCACGTGTCCTTCTTTCCATGCATGGTTCTCCTATGACAGTTGAAAGTTCATTTACTGCAGAATACATCACCGAAGTCATCAACTTGTTGTCGAATTTCCCGACGGCGAACCGCTCGCCGATGCCAAAATAGAATGTTCCTATTCACAAAGCAACTTCCGCATGCAAGATATGGATTTCCTTTTCCCTACTGCACTTGAGTCTTTCACTATTTCGATTGGTGCTTTTGCGGACGCAACGCCTTCAGCTGCACGAAAACGCCGTACATAGTACCGAAGCCCGCGCTTATTAAAGAAACGATTTTTTGCAGGAAATACGGTAGACATGAACAGTTTCGGCATGTTTTCTGTGGTGTTTCCTGGCCATCGATGGGTAACGAAATGATTATGCATTTGCGACATCTATCCTGGCCTGCATGGGTGTTCGGTTCGCTCAGCGGATCTCCGCTGGTATATTCATCCTCCGATCTGTCTGTTGGCTGTACCTCTTGAAAGATTCCTAGTTAAAAAGAGAAAAAAGATTTCAACGTCAGTTTGATTGAATTCCCTCAAGTCGGTTGTACTTGTTTATCATGAATTAGTTTTATGTGAAAATTATCACTTGACGACAATTTGAGATAAGCTGGTCAATTCTCGTTCTGCACTAACCTCAGTGTACTCTCGGCAGTCAAATTGTATCCGGTGACTCCGCGATTTTGATCGATCACTCAAACGACACCGTCGGCAGCCATGAATCAGTCGATTCTCGCTCCATCCTATAATCCTAATGAGCGAAACGGGCACCGAAAATACCCTTTACAAACCATCGTTACTTTTTACGTTGAGGGCTGTGTCTTTTCTCAAAAGTTGTACTCGTGGTTGATCGGATGGCAGTTGATCTGTTCGCCTTGGTCTATTCAGCTCCCATCCGATCAACCACCAGTAAACACACCCCAGCTACCTATACTTCGACAAATTTCTCAAAAGTTGTACTTGGTGTGTACGGCATAATAACAGCTCGTTAATTATTTCACCTGCCACTTAATGGAGAGGGGACCTCATTAGACAGAAACCAACACACAGTGTTCTTCATCCCCCCCCCAGACAACGTGTTATGGAAATCCGTGATCAATAAACTCACATTACACGCCAAAATACCACATGACCATCGTAAACATACCTATAAAAAGGGAAGCATTGTCTGATCTCGATGGACCAACGGGAAAATGGGCACTGTTCAACTACTTTTGGCTCTGTTTCATACTTCGAACATTGTGGTGGCTAAAAATGATTGTGAGTTTTGCCCGTTTTTAAATTTGTTCGAACGACTTTACCACATAACGAGTAGTGTATTTCCCTCACACGATAGGCGCACTGAATTCCCTCGTAAATTTTATGTAGTTGAGACATTAAAGCAGATAATCTATTCCACCTCCAACCCGAATTCCAGAAGCTGTTTACAGGGAAACAAATCTGAATGAACTGCAGCTGATTCAAAGTGCAGTACATATTGAGCTGTAATATCATACATCCGACCAAAAGCTTCAAGATTGTCCATAAATTCGAGATGACGTTTTTGCCTCTTCCCGTTTACGAGCTGATCTGTCTGTTTAGCGAGTACGCCTCCTTGTGTGCGTCCTTGAAATCGTATTTCCGAAGAAGACATTGTATTCTCTTCTCAAATGGAGTATATTTAGAGTATATATTTGGAATATATATAGAGTATATTTTTTTTCGACCAAATTGTTGTGCCAAATACGCCCGCCTCATCCTAAGATGCTACGGAATTCTGACAATCCAAAAATCTGCTCGAAAGTAGCTTGAAACAAAT